TACGCTACTGTCTCATGTCAGAAAAAGCTGCAAGGAAACCATGTCAACAAGACAAAAACTTCTACTTGCATCTTTTTTAAATGTGTGGATTGCTTGAAGCTGTTCAGTACTGTGTGCTTAATTATCAAGTATCAACTTTAAATACTGAGGTAGGTAGGTAAAGCAGCATGTATTTTTGCCTTATTTATAAGCATAAATAAATCAGTATGAAAATCCAAATAAACCCATAAATTGCAGTGTTACAAAAACATGTTTCTGTTGCGCTGACCTGCTTGGTGCGTCTAAACATGGGGGCAGGGCTGGTGGGACAGCTGTGCCTGGCAGCGAGGCGGGAGGAGGGCGTCTGCAGACCCTCCACGGGGTCAAATAGATCTAAACTCAACACTGGGAAACCATCATACCTAATGAAAAACACACATTCACACATTAGTGAAAGAGGGCACACAGTTATTTACATGCATACAAAGTGGGTTGGCATCCATCAGGCTGGAGCCTAAACACCCTGTGGGGAATGGTTGCTTCCAAGGTTAGAGTGACATCAATATAAAACCTTTTTTGTAATTGTCTACAAAGAGAGCTAATAAAAAAATGTGGAAAACTGCTGGTCATTATGGATTATGATGGGGACTTAATTTAAGTGCTTCTGAAAAAAAAATTATAAATTATTCAGAATGAGGCATGACTGCAGAATACAAATATTCAGCTCCACACGGTCCAGCAGCAGAGTTCAGTCTTGGTCCTCACTTTGACAGCTCAACTCCTGCTGGTCCTCAGTCAGCTATTGAAAAGAAAGAACTAACCAAATTGAAACTTAATCTATTATTCAGATTTTTCCCTGCTGTTAGCTGTGAGAATTTCCAGTTCATCTCAAGGAAGGACATCTAGTAGAAGGATTGTACTCAGCAGCATATTTGTAGGTCTTCCCAAATTTAAAACAAATATTACTCGTCATTTGTGCACAACATTCGACTTTGTTATTCAAAGATGTCATGCAAACAAAAACATGCAGACATCACAGAATGAAACTAGAACAAAATACTATATACACCATGTGCACAATTATTAGGCAAGTGAAAGATTCATTTTACTATGGAACAAATCCAGTCCTCTCAGTCAAGCCAAATTGTTAATAAACCTAAAAACCTGAATGTTTAACAAAGGAAATGTTACACACTCCTTTGTTTAAAACCCAAATTTTCCCGTCATACTTGTTTCTTTTCATTTTGTATAGGAAAGATAACACATTTAATTAGCAAAGATAACAAAAGCAGTCAGCCTATGGATGAAAGATGACTGCCATCTGCCTTTCATCCATAATCTGTCAATTTTTTTGTGCAGCAGCAGCCACAACCTGCCAAATGCTTAAAGAGGTATACTGTCTTCCCTGTTTGTAAATCTTAAGCTTCAGAGGGGCTAACAAGGAAGAGGGCCGTGTCATTATTATCATCTTTGAGACCTTTACTCGGTAGCCAAGCGCTGGAGTACTTGAGTACATATGATGGTGCATTGAACTGCATGAAAACAATAGTCTTATTAAATGCTGCTAACTTTTTTCTGTACCACTGCTTGAAGAAAGTATCCTTTAGGACCTGGCAATAGGTTTGGGAGTTTATTTTAAGTCCATCTTCAATGGTGCAACTAGCTCATACTTGATAATAGCAGCCCAAACCAGTGCACCTCCTCCACTTTGACTCTTAGTACCCTTTAACCATTCGTGATCGAGTTATGATCCCATCTATCTGGCCCATCAAGAGTCACTCTCGTTTCATCTGTCCATAAAGCCTTTGAAAAATGTGTCTTCAGATATTTCTTTGCCCAATCTTAACATTTCTAACTTGTGTGTCTTGTTCAGTGGTGATCGTGTTTCAGCCTTCCTTACATCAGTCATGTCCTTGAGCAATGAACATCTCGTAATTCTGGACACTCCAGGTAGATTGCAGTTCTGGAGTACAGTGGTACTAGAGGATAATGGCTTCCTGGTAGCGTCACGTTTAATCCTTAAGTCTCTTCCAGTTAATTTGCATCTATTCTATCTATCTATCTATGCACCCCCATTCCTCCAAATGTAACTGTACTTCCATAAGTACAGTTTGTACCTGTAGCATAGTGGATGCTCCTCTCCCTCGGGCAGAGGAGGCAGCTCTGGAGGCGTGATGAAGACTGTGTGCTCACTACGCTGGGATTCATCAATCTCTATAAGCCGGGTCTCCTCCGGCCTGTCGCTGTCCACCTGCAGAGAAGAAAACACAAACATGAAGGAATGTGTGCAGGTCGTGAGACTGTCATCTATGACACCTGAAGGCAGTATGAAGCACCCCGTCTGACAGATCGGAAATTCCATATAGATCTTGATGTTATGGCCTATAATAAGTCTTAGCAAACATATCTTTGCCCAGTATTATTCCAAAACAGCTGATCCTGTTGGCAGGATTGTTACAGAATGAGTGTCAGAGCTGAGGAATGATGACAAAGAGTGACCTAGATTTCACTGCTTCCCTTTCCTTGCTTTTTAAAGGATTATTTTTATACTTACGTTTCATTAGCAAACTGTTTAATGGCAGAACACAATATGACATCTGAGTGGAAAGTATCATCAGAATTGTTGTTATAATCATTACAACATACCAGAAGGTACTCAAAAATAACTATAATTACTGTTAGTGGTTTAAATGCCTCATTTCATGACATTCAATGTCATTTTAGCCCATTAAGGAGCTGCTCTTCAACTGAGTTGAGAGTCTAAGGATAGAGGTTGTAATGTAAAGTACAGATTTTGAAGCCTTGTGTGTCTTAATATAACAAGGATATAAAAATAAAACTGATTTAATGTGACTTTGTTAAGTATTGCTGTTCTTGTTCAATTGTATGTCTGTTGTATTAGTGAGCAAATCCACTGAGAGTCTCAAATTCCTTGCTTGGCCAAAAAAGCTGATTTTGAAGTAAACAATGCTTTGAAAGTTTGAAAACTTGGAAGCTAGTTAAACACTGACATTTTTCCCTCCTCATCTTTTCCATGTGTTTTTACTGTTTTCCATTTGGCTGAGGTCAGTGTCACTACAGCTATCATGAGCTGATACCTGGACCCTACAGAGATTGCACAGGCAGTTTAACTCCTCCAGCATGGCACATCGATACCTGCCAAGGTTTGCTGCCTATGCCAGCACAGTCTCAAGACTCCAGTGCTGGGACAGATAATCAAGGAGAGCTGGGCAGGGCCATAGGAGGTCCTTAACCCATCAGCACGACTAGTATCTGCTCCTTAGTGTATGAGGGAACGGGATAAGCACTCGCAGAGCCCTACAAAACGGACCTCCAGCAGGCACGTGATGTGAATGTTTCTGAGAAAACAATCAGAAACAGATATGACGTTCATAAGGGTGGCCTAAGGACCCAGTGTTCTCACTGCCCAGCATTGACCTAACTGGCATTTGTCATAGAATACCAGAATTGCCAAGTCTACCACTGGCGCCCTGTGCTTTTCAAAGATGAGAGCCTGAGCACATGTGATAGGTGTGAAAAGGTCTAGTGAAGCCGTGGAGAACATACGTTGTCTGTAACATAGTTCAGGTGATGGGTCAGTGACGGTCTGGGGAGGCATATTCATGGAGGGAATCACAGACCTCTACAGGCTATGCAATGGCACCTGACTGCCATTAAGTACTGGGGTAAAATCCTTGGACCCATTGTCAGACCCAATACCCAATACCTTTGAGTATCAGCAAAATTGACTAACCTGCTGAATCATTTTTCACTTTTGGGGTATCCTTAAATTCAGCCCTCTGCAGTTTGTTAATTTCTATTTCTATCGAACAATGTGGCATCCTTTCATTCCTAACACGTTACTCAGTCCATATCAATTCCATATTGTGTAGAAGCTTTATAATATGGACTGAATATTGTGTTCGCAAAATAGAATGGACAGATGCTGCAGAGGCTGTGGGCGCAGAAGCTCAATAAATACAAAGCAAAGATCACTGGTGTTGTCTGAAAATATACAGAGAAACAACCGCAGCTCCCACGCAACAAGGACATAAACTCAGTCAACACCCTCTCCTCCTATATATATATATATATATCAACGGACACTGGAACAACTTTTCTGTGCAAGCCATCACCTGGAACAACAGTTAGTTCAGTAGCTTTCTATTCAGTAACACTGCAACTCAATTTACAACTCTTACAGGGTTAACTGAACTTAGAGTCAACGTCTGTTGTGGTCTGTGTCTGGATTTGTCTGACATAAAAAAGTAAAAAAAGATGAGGCAGAAAAAACAGGTCATTTGTCGATTCTTAATGTTCGCCTTGAGGCAGCTGCATCGTTGCAAGCGGCAAGTTGATTTGAAGTTATTCCCCATTTCAAAGTGAATACAAAAAAACATATTTCTATGAAATTTGATTATTCTGGGATTGTGTTAATGCATTCACTATCTACATATATACTACCTTCTTTTATTTTTTGAACAAATTTTTCATAGCATACTTCAGCCTTGGAAGACCACCTGATTTATTAATATACAAGGACCATGATCAGTTTGATTTACACATTGAAAGATGAGCATATCATGCCACAGTCAGCTTAAGGTATAAACTGGTTCTATAGAATCTCTCATAACGGTTTGTCCCACTGTCAGTCTGTTTGGCTCAGATACATAGCAAGGAGACTACACTCAGCATTTGGTGTTATGTTATTGTAAGGCTGAGTTTCCAAGACCATATCTACAACCGTATCTCTTTATCAAATGATAAAAGATTATAGGTGCCCACTGATGGGGAAAAAAAGGTGGTCTGATTTTTATTAATGAGGCCAGAAACAAATCTATGTGGGCAAATGAAACAACAGCATAATGGTCCTCATTTATCATTTTCATCAGTGACATTTGGAGTTAGTGCAAAGATTTTACTACAGCCATGCTGGTAGGGCAGACAGATAAGACTAAGTGAATCTTAAATCAGAGGGTCTGAGCTTTATGGTGGATTTAAAACACCCAGTGTCACAGAGGGAAGCATCGTAAATTGAGAAGTGCTTAATGACAGGCTTTGGCGCTACAGGCAATGATTTTCTTCAAGCTGGAAAGAAGGGAGGTGAAGCACTTGCTTAAAGTTCATAATTTAGTCTAGTTATTCAGATGGTAATTAAAGTTTGATAACAACCTCAGTCAAAGCAGTGGAGTGTGGGAATGTCTCTTCCTTAGTGCTGTCTAAAGAAGGCTTTCATTATTCTTCTTTTGTCCATTAAAGAACATCAGAGGCCAACATGATTTTCTGTGCTGCTTCTATGGGCACATTTTAAAACACAGGAGTAAAAGCAGGAGCTGTCAGTTTTTCAAGGGTTTCTACAAACCCCCTTAGGTAAGATGTAGATGAGAGAGTTTGGTAAGAGTATAGCGACAAACCCAGTGGAGAGGGTTTTTAGGATTTTATATTGCTTTGTACAATAGCAATGCTGCTAGTGTTAGCCATGTTGCTAACCATGATTAGCAATACAAGTCAGAGCATCAGTGTTCCCTGCCAAGCAGCTATCCAAACACATCACCACCCAGAAAGCAGAACTTGTACTTAGCCAATTCACATCCAAATTATACTAACTCTGTGAAAAGCCAAGAAGTGTATTTTCCCAAAATGTCAAACAACTTCCTTTAAATAAACACTCTGTGACTTCGATGTGGCACCATGCTCCCAAGAGGTTCTTTCCATCCATATTTTGGATATTTTGAAATTCTGCTGTGAACTGTTTCCAGCTATAAAACAACACATTCAGGTGGCAGGAAATCAGGGTATTATAAAAACTACTGGGAGTACGTATTTGCAGACACACTCCACATTCAAAAAGTAACATTAGTTTTTACCTGAAAAAACTCTGAACAGTTTCAAATTCACTGAGAGCTCTCTAATTAGGGCATATGGACAAATGTTGCAATGTGATGAATAGATGAGAAATTTAGAAAAAACTGATTTATCAATCTCTACATCAGCAGTGCTTCTTTAATAATGTGTATACCTTTTAAAGAGTTACTGTTACCGAGGTCTTAATACTGTATGTTTTTGTATAGAATCCCATGACTCTTTGTTTGATATTATCTTACTTGCATAATTAAAACTAGTGTTTTTGTCTTTTGGATTTAATTAGCTTTGCTGCTACAGCAAACATCTTGCCCTCAGCGATGTGTAGACTTTAACCTTATCTTCGTGTATGGGACTCCTGTGTGTGGGCTGAGAGATGCACTGCGTTTTGTCTCCTAGAGAGTAGATAACGTCATCCACATTACCACAGTGCAGAGACAGTTTGAGGGATTTAATCGCCCGTAGAAGTGACGCACAGGCTGCATCAGGAAACACAGGCTCCAGTGCAGGTCTGGGAAAACAGGGAGGGGAGGATGTGGATCCTGGCCTCTGTATTCACTTCCATTTTGTCTCAATTACAGCCAGAGAACACACACACACGCACACACACGCACACACACACACACGCACACACACACACACAATGCAAGGACAGCAAAGACTATTTCAAAGTCAGTTATAAATGTAACCTGCAAAAACCAGTGACCCAAAGATGCGACTTAGGAAGCAAAGGGGTTTGGTAGTCTTTAAAACAGCAAACACACAAAACTGAACGTTCTGCACACAAATATGGTCTGATACAGGGACACACCCCATGAGCACATGAGGTCAACCTACTCAAAGTGCTCCCAATGGAAAAAAGGAGATGGACTGAGAGCAACTCCGAGTCTTCACACTGTCACACGAAAAAATGTGAGCCTAGGGGAAGAGCAAAAAACTAACTTCAAGCTCTGTTAGCGCTTCAGAAATCACTGAAGCGCTAAAAACCCTTACTCACTAGACTCATGAAAAATTGAAGGAAGAAATCCTTGCAGAAAACTGCACACATGGATTTTCCATGATACGGTGCATTCACTATCTCGGGACAAATTGCTGTGGCAGCAAATTTAATGTGGGTGTGGGAGAATTTTCATTAAAAATAGAGAATGTGTAAAAAGGCTCTACAGCTTGGATCATAAGGAACTAATTTAAATGACACAAGAATACGTGGGCGGGATAACATGAAAGCTTAAATCATATCTGTATGGCTGGAGGGTTTTCTAAGAGCATTGAGACAAAGCTGTTTCCAATTATGACTCAAAATAATTTGGTTACATTATGAGTATCATGTAGTAGATTTGGGCCATATTTCAGTCACAGGGTATGCAGAGGTATTTAGAGATCTGGTTGCTACGATTTTGAGCACCATCATTACATTGATGGATCTCAATTAGACTGGTATGGAGTTGTTGTATTGAGAGCATGTATTGTAGTGCAGCAGTAGCTACTGATGTATCATTCAAGTGAGCGCAGAGAGCTGTTAAAATACAACTCTAAACAGTAAACATATTCTACTTTAACAATACATTGTGAAATTTTTCACTAAAGAAGCTAAAACGTCCAATTTGGATATGCCCCTAGAATTTCCTGATCAGTTTAAATTAAAACTTGTACCATCAACTAGTCAAAAAGTAAAAACTATCCAGAGTGCGGCTAATGTTGGCAGTGCTAGCATCAACAGCCTTCTTTCTTTGGAAAGACAGGAAAGTGAACATGATGTTGCACAATAAGCTGTAATACCATTTAGAATAGCTACAGAGCCAAATGTTATCTACTGCAGGTTTTTTTAATCCTATTTCTGATGACAGTGAAGGCAGCAAAGGTTAATTGTCTGTCTGCTAATTCCTCAAATCCATTGCTACAATGACTTCTATCTAAGCTTTTAGGGGTTCTGTTCATTTGCTGGTTGTTTTTTTGTGGGGTTTTTTTACACACCATTATCACACACCATGAACCCTGTTGAAATATCAGGAAGTAATAAGAGTATGAAAAAGTAAAGACCACCCAAGCTTACCATACACCATGCACAATTCCTCTATCTGGAAACAAAATGTTTCAGGATAGGTGAGAATAAAAATAGACTTACCTTGCCTCCTTTATCTGCACCCCGCTCTGAATTGTAAAGCTGTTCACAAGTGGAGGCAGAAAGGAAGAGAGAAAGGGAAACTCAAGAAGGTTTGGTTGAAGACAAGTGAAGTGACACAGAGAAGAGGGAAATCTGCTAACACTACTGTAAGTGGAACACAGTGGGGGTCCACTGAGAAAAGAAATGCCAGAAAAGAAAAGGGCTTTTTTTCCCCCTCTACTGCATCAAAATGAATATGTATGCATGTGATATAGCATTCTCTTGTATAAAATAAAAAAGCTCACTTTATCCACACAGTCGTCAAAGAAGGCCAGGCTGGCGTCTTTGTCGCTGACAAAGGAGCACTCTTCGATAAAGCGGATGAACATCTGGGTCTTCGTCATTAGGGAGTAGAACTTCTGGTGTGAGCGGTCACGGCTCTTCAAGAACCCTGAGGGGAGAAACATAGATGAGTTATTAAACATGGTAGTAACCTTACTTTGCTGAGATCTAACATGTCAGTGTAATAACTGAAAGATGATTTGAGATTACAGTGGGTTTACCTTTATAGAAGATCTCACTCTAACTTCTGAAAAATGGTGAGCAGTCACAAGAATAATTTAAAGACTTCTTCAAAAGGTGTGTGAGTGTGTGGTTAAAGAACCCATTATTCTAGAACAAGCTGTATGTATACTGCATCCATTTGTCTTGGTTTGGATAATGCAAGCCACAATGTTGTTAGTGTAATGGCCAATACGGGATGTGCAACAACGTGGTGAAAAACTTCCATAATAGATGCTGAAAGCTTCTAATAAGTCACTGAGTAATAAGCCACTGCTGTTATGAGACTCAGAATAGGATGGATGGTTTCTGGCTCACAGCACGGATGTGGAAGCCAAACACTTCCTGCAGTAGATAAATATTTTAATCATGACACCGGCCACTTGCAATTTGGGCCTGTTCAGGTCAGTTTCAGGGTAGCCTCACGATACCATTCTCTATGTCCTTCACTACATTTTAAAACATTGGCCTTAAAAATTAGTTAACTTACTGATTACTTTATAAAAACAACAACAAAATCTTTAATGCATTTCAAACTTTTGCTTTTTTGCTTTGTGCTGTCACCGAAATGCACTTTGGATCTGACAATCTGAGGGCCAAATAATTATGTTTATTTAGTTCACATTTCTTCCAGTGACCTTAAAAATTCAATCCAGTTATTTTTGACCTGAGTCATGACTTCAAAACAACAACAGGGTAGACCCAAAAAAGTTGATTCTTTTCATCTGGACATAGCATTTTCAGTTGGAGAAATGTTTCATCATTCACCTGAGTGACTTTTTCATACACATACATTTGCATAATGACTGAAACTAGCACCACTGGTGAACAGTGGGCTGTGAGGTCAGTTGTCATGACCATTGATCAACAACCACTGACCACTGATCAGTTTTGAAGGGATTTCCTAACCTGGATGATTAAACAAAGATTAAGAAAACAATAGGTAGTATCGTCAAAATAAGAAAAAAAATTTCTATGAAATACAGTGCCACATATTAAATGTCTAAATGCCCCTTGTCTGTACTAGAAAAACTTCCAACCAGTAAGTACGCTGAAATAAAATAAACAAGCAGCCTACAAGGCTTTAGTGCTCTCTGGTTCAGGATTACATTAGGCCCGTAGAGAACAAAAGGAGGTTGAAATGTCTCAAAAGCAGCAGGAAAAGAGCAAGGATTAAAGTTCATTAATGCTCATCAGAGAAAGACAAATATTTTAGAACACCTCTAAAACAGAGTGCCATCAGCACACTGAGCTTGGTGATACCATTTTAAAGAAAATGGATTGACTAGCAGGTGGTGCTTGTATATGTGTTCATCTGTTATTTAGAAAATAACCTGAACTGAAGTAAAAGTTTTGTTTTTTTAATTTACCATCTGCTTTGCAAATTTGAAAAATCAGAGTAAAAAGGAACACAGCTGCAGCGTGTGTGTAAAAATGTCATAGACACAGATGTTGATTCATTTCATCATATTAACATACTTAGTAATATTTTATTGTTGTGGATATTAAGTAAAAAGTGGTCAGGAGTTCAAATGTGATGTACAAGCTGTTACATATTTCTTTGAGTTATTATGTAATATACTGCAGCTTTTCCTGTTTGCTATATCACATATTTCAGACAGGACGCAGCCTTGGCTCCAGCTATTCTCCAGTGGAGCAGGCTTATCACCCCAACTCACTTCAACTGTGATACAAAGCAGCTTTCATGGGCTCAGACCCACAGGCAGGATGACAACCCTCTGGAGCTCAGAAGCTGCAGTGTTAACTGGCTAACCTTCAGTTTGCAAGCAGCCTCGACCCTTCAACCCGAGCATCTCCTCAAAGCCTAGCCTTCCTGCCCAAACAGCTTCTCTGTGTATTTACTCGGAGGTGGAAATGGACACTTACGAAAGCTCATGTATTAAACAACGCCATCTGTGCTTGAGGCAGACCAGCTGTCGAGAAGAAGGTGCGACAGATGATGTGGTCTTAGCTTAAATATTCAGAACGTCATTAGCACTAATCATGCATTGTGACTGTACAACTAGGACTGGATAATGATGAAAAAGTAGAGCAAAGTTAACTTTTGATGGTGGCTGACATTCTGCGCACCACATTGGATGTTAACAGCCTCAGCTCTGTTGGTCAATTGTCAAGTCAGTTCCTTAGAGCTCTTAGTTCTAAGAAGGCTCTTCTTGGTTGGTCTAGATTCTCAAATTAAAATGACTCAGTAAGTCTCCACTAACTCATTAAATATCCTTGAGATTAGCCCATAGCCATGCTAATAAAATCAATGGGGAAGGCATTGAGAAATACACAATAAATCTTCTTCCCCACACCCTCCAAAAATATCTGACAAAATTAATAGAGCTAATCTGTCAGGATATGTCACACAATTTTCTGAATTTTTCCAGAAAGAAACTAAAATAATAGTATCAGCATTATTTTCTCCAAGAGCTCAGGCTGGCTTCTGTTTCAAATCGTCAACATTATGGACGTCAGCAGTCAGGAGACAGGTAACACAACAAGTGTATAAATCCTTCTGTAAAATGTGGTTAGTGCACTATTGTCAGAGTGATTGGCCCACAATGTGTAACACGCAACAAACTTCTACTAGTTCCAATTAGGGAATCTGGGTGGAAAAGTCTAATTAGATTCTTTATTACTCCACATATTACTAACAAATTTCAGCAGCATCAGCAACAATATTGGAGACAGTGTGGTCACTTATAGACCAATCACTCTCATATCTTCTGGACATGTACACAATTGACACCATTATGGGACAGTATATTCAAGTTAATGGATGACATCATGGCTTATGCCACCCCTAAGGAACCCAAGACCTTCCTACTGGGTCTGCTACCCAGAGATTTGATACCAAAAAAGGACAGATACATTTTTAAAATTCTGTTGACTGCAACTAGAAAGGCCATAACAAGGAATTGGATTAGCAGAGCAAATGCTAGAGATTATAGAAGAAATACACTTGATCGAGAGACTGACTTTCTTTCTACGACTCAAAGGACATCTTTTTCCACAACATTGGACTAAATGGCACAACTACAAGCAAAGGCTTGAAGACTGTTATTTAATCCAGTCTATACCTCTTTATTTGTAAGATTCTTGAATAGTGTCCCAATTTGTTCCATTTATATTTTTGATATATTTTTGTTACGTTTTTGTTGCTATGGAAAATTGAAAATAGAAAGTTTTAAAAAATGTGGTGAGTGCAGAAAAGTACCATAAGGTTCAGGCTATGTTAAAGAATGAAGGTGGTCATACCAAATATTGACTTCCAAGCTGATTAGAATTAAAGAAACTCTGTTTTGCCCAGTTCTGTACCTCTGAGACTTTTCATGTTTCTGTGTGAGGAATATGAAGAGGCCAGTGGGGTGAGGACACCAGCTAATTCATTCAGTCCGTTTCCTCTGCACATGGAGAGCTGTCGAGAGTTCAAGCTACATGTGGACACTGACATTATTCCTAATACCTTGCAAGTCAAAGAGTGAGCTAGCGTCTGTGGCTTTCTCTGAAGGCGCTTGAGTGATGGGGCGCAAGAAGGAGCGGTAGCCTTTCAGAATTGCTGCCATGAAGCGCAGAAAAGCTTCCTGGATCTCTAGCTCCAGTGTGTGGAGACTCTTCCCACAGCTCAACTCTGACGAATCGCTCATGCTCAGCTCCAGCAGCCCATCTGGTCGGTACTGACCTGAAGCAGGAGGAAAATACATTTTAGCAGCTGACGGCACATATCAGGATCTTTAGGCTAATGTCAACATAAAGGGTAAATCACTACTTTCAGCTGAGCCAGCTGCATTATTTGCATTTTGATGAAGTGGTTCTGATCTAAGTGCATGTGTTGAAAGGTTTGTGCACAGCTGCAGTATTCCAGTAAGTAATCCTACTGTGAATGAGGATTAGTATTACATAATTACATTTTTTTAATCCTTAGTCGATATCCTTATTTAGAGACTTCCAACAGGGTTAAATGTCTCAGCTACAACCTCTGGCATGCATATCAATATTCAGCACTTGTGGTAGTTACTGGCTAGATTTTCAACTTCACTGAATTAGAAAATTAAATTATTCAGATTCCTACAGCTCAAGAAGCAGCAGGTTTCATGTTCACTCAGTGGGTATGCTTCCTCAAACGCGCAAAAAGTTGATAACAATACAGTGAGCCCCACATCAGAGCAGACGGATAATTAGGAGATTATGCTTTGATGGGATTATTGCTGGCTTTCAGATTTGAATGGAGAGCTGGACAAAAGAAAGTGAATGGAGAGCAAATTGTAAAGGCAACACAATCAGTGACTACAGATGATAAAAATAGAAGAGCGTGCAATGTGGAGACCTTAGTTAGACCCTAATTATCACTGAAAGTGATCTTTACCATAAATACATCCAGAAATGAACTAAATAAACACCAACACTGGATGCAGTTTTACAATAATTTGCCCCACCGCTTCAGCACTCACCATCAACAAGCTGCTGGTAGAGATTATTCAGCACATTCATTAGGTTTTTACAAGCTTTCTTTGGCAGAATCTTCCATGTGAGGGCTCGCTTATCTTCATGGCTAGAAAAGCAGAAACATACACTGAGGCCAACATCAACATGAGCAGTGGTTAGGCCAAGAGGGATTTCAGACCACCCCAACGTTGTCTGGCTGGTAATAAGGCCAAAAATGATGCGAAACATTACTGACCTTACCTGGCACGCTAGAAAATTGCATTCTCGTCATATTAAAACAAGTCTGACACTACAAAAATAACCATTTCCACCCAATCTCTGGCCTGATGTCTAAAGTTAGAACTCATGAGCCAGCAGCTATGCTGTCTGAAAAATAGAGGGACCAAAGGATGTTGAGCTTATAGCTTAGAAGGTGCTGTATGGATCGCTGTATAGAACAATGAACACGGTGAAGATTAAGCTCAGCAAAATTCACTTTCTTACCTAAATACCTACAGCTGTGGGAAGGTTTTAAGGATTGTGCTTACTGGAAGATGGTGTTTGTGTCCAGGTCCACGCAACTGACATCCGGAGGGGGATCATAAAGATCAAAGTAGCGAGAGTCCACGCCTACAATGAACGGACAGGGGGCACTCAACACATCAGCCAACGCCAGAGGGCACAGAGGAATATACGGGCAGGGCCAGTGGAACGGAAAAATCATCTGAGGAGGGTGAAAAAGAGCACAAGAGCAGAAAAATCAGACAGACCTCCTTCAATGAATTTCCAGATAACACAGGACTGAGCTATAGTGTACGTGGTCAGATTCACAGTATAGCTGAGCCGTGTATAGGATTAAAACAAAACGTGAACACCATCTGCAGTGTTAAGAAAATGTTTGTGACCCCCCCACCCCCTCCCTTCTCTATCTCCTTTGACCTCCTCGTCCAGGTGTAACAACAGAATTACGGTGGATACAAGACATTCCACATTTCGTTTGGATTAAGCTCCAGACTTTGGCTTCATCATTCTAAAGCATTATGTTTAACTGTTCTTTGGTACTTGTATGCTTTGGATCATTGGCTCTCCCCATTACCCACAGATGTCCTGAAAATTTCATTTGTGTGCTGGTATAATTCTTAATTCTTTCTTAATTTTTTCCATCAGTGATGACAAGTATTTCTATGACACCACCACAATGTTTCACAGATGGAAAAAGGCTCCCATCCAGGAATGCTGATTATTCCTTTCTCCAAACATAATGCTTCTCATTTGAAATAAAAACAATCTATTCTCCATCCACAAAAACACTGGTTTAACAGCTTGCTGGCTTGTCCTGACTTGTCCATGTTCTAAAGAGAAGTTGTGTTCTCCTTGCATCCCTTTACTTCAAATTGCTGTTGTTTAGTATTATCTCGTTTCAAATTGCTGTTGTTTAGTATTATCTCGTTGGGGGAAACACGGAGTTAACTTCTGTGAAAGAGCCCTTTAGGTCCTGGGAAGTTACCCGGAGTTCTTTCATAGTTATTCGGACTTTAACATGACATTTTCCTTGAGTGATTTCTGTTGGTTGACCCCTCCTGTGGAAAGTAAGTATAGGTGGTTCTATGTCATGTTTAGCATCACAAACGTTTAACGTCAAGGTCAGGCTTGGATAAATGCACACTCTTAAAAGTAGGACACCCACTCACACCTGCTTGTCATCCTATTGACTGAAAACACCTCTATCTAATTTCACCTTCAAATTTACTGCTCATCTTAGCAGTTCACTTTTCCTATCACGGAAAAGTCAGTGGCCAACTATATATTTCTATGACTGGATTTGAAGGTTTTCTTTTTTACCTACAACAATGTTTTATTGTATTTATAGAGATATATAGAAAGGGGTTCACAAACCTTTTCTTGTAATTGTAAATGCTGCCATTCATTTAAATTAAGTATAAAACAAGAAGGCAGTGAAACTAAGAGGAGATAGAGCACTCTATGACAGCTGAATGGAGTTACTTACAGACACGAGAGCCTCAGTAACACTGGTCAGTACGGCCGGTCGTAGTGAATGGATCAGGATCTTATGTTCAGTGACAGCAAACACCAGCAAGGTGACAGCGTTCTCTGGCCCAAGGTTGTGGAGCAGTGTGGAAAATCGACCACCACTAAATAAATAAATATATAAATAATTTTCTTTTAAATTGTTTCTTTTAAAATCTATTGTATATATTTTTTGAAAGAAAGGCTTTAGGTTTCTCAAACAACTCTAATATTTATAATATAAGGCGAGTTCAGACCTGATTATATAAACTTGGCACAGAAAGTAAGGGAAATTTGGATTTGGTGGATTATTTCTTTGTTGTAACAACAATTCTTGGAAAAAAATGTGGTACCTGGACAAACTTCAAATGTTGATTTTTAAGTAACCTAAGGTAAATACAACTGCAATAAAAATGTTCAAAAGTTAAAGTAATACTCAGCCATGGAAAATTAAGGTAACTGATACCAATAGTACACCTTCAACTAGAACAGGGAAGGCCATTAAAGATGTTGAAGTGCTTCTAATGTTCAAAATATTAAAATGACCATTTGAGTAGAACCATGAAAGTCAAAACATGATCTGGAAGAACAGAAAAAAAAATTCAGATATGGCATTTCTGCTCATCAGAAAAACAAAAACACCCATATCACTGCAATGGTGGTGCATCATGCAACTGTGACGCTTTGATACACAAATGCAGTCTTGCAGTCCAAATATGAAGTGTGCTCAAAAGGAACAGTACCTGCAACCTCATTACAAATGTCTAAAGTCTGCAAAGTAACATCTGGATCAGCCAAAGTCATTTTGAAAACAAGTGCAGTGGACAGATGAAGGTCACACAGAGCTGTCTGGCAAATATCACCATGATTTGTAGAAATAAAGTGAAGCCGCGCCTAATTTAACAAAAACTTTAGATTGGAAACATATTTTCGTTTGGAGCTGGTGGGGATTCAGGGGCAAAGGAGAATCTGCATGAATAGACAAAACAGGTACAAACTAACAAACTCTACCCAAAAGAAAGTAAGAGCATTGGCTATGAACCCACATTTTTTTCTATAAATATTTGTGTGGTCTCAGAATTTTACAATCTCAGTTTAAACTGAGACATTTTACTATTGCATGAAAAAGATTTAATTTTTCATGCAGTTTTATTTAATTTGATGGGACCAACATGCCTCAAAAACTTTGAGACACAGACAATAAAAGGCTGGAAATTTAAGTGGTCATTAAAAAACAGCTGTGAGAACATTTTGCACCTAATGAGTGTCACTGGCAACAGGCCAGGAACACGACTGTATGAAAACAAGAGGATCTCAGGCAGCACTGTGGGCATAACAGGGCATGACATGTTTCTGTCATGGAAATCACTGCATGGACTCAAGAACACTTCCAGAAGTCATTGTGCCATCCGCAAATACAGGTTAAAGCTCTATCATGCAAAGAAGAAGCTCTATGTGAAGATGATCCAGGAACACAGCTTTCTTCTCTGGACCATTTAAAAAGTAATGAGGCAAAGTGTAAAACTGTTCTGGGGTCATATTATATCAGTGTGTTCAGTTTAAAAGCCTGCATCTCTGATGACATAGAGGTGCATTAGTACCTCTAGAACTGACACTTGCACATGTGGAAAGTTGCCATCAATGCTGAGAGGTATTTACAGGTAGCAGCTTTTTCAGGGAAGCCCCTGAATATTTTAGCAAGACGGTGCTACTGCATCTATTACATCAGCATAACTTACATGCAGTCCAGACCTTTCACCATTTAAAAAAAGCTGGAAGCAAAAATCCTGTATCAGACAAAAATGGGATGCTACACAGCAGTAAATATGACCTTGTTGCAAATTTTTGGGACATGCTGGTGCAATTTTTTTCTTACAAACTGTACATTTTGTCAGTTAAAAAATTTGATATGTTTTCTAACTGACGTTTTACACATATTTCTTTAGATCTGACACCAAAACTAACATTTAGCACAAAGAAACTTTGAGCACAGCTGCTCTTACCTGAGCGGTAATGGAGAAGAGACCGGCTGGCTCAGCATCAGGCTGTCATGAGGGGAAAGCTAAAGAAAAGCTGGAAAATGAGATAAAACCAACCACGCAAAAAAAGTCTGCACTGAATCATTTAAATGTTCATCCATAATGAAGGACCAAAACCGGTGCACCCCTGCGGGTGAACTAACACCTTCAGAAATCAACTCATTCTTCAGCAATATGCAGGTTAAACATTCTAGCCTGCATTAAATGCAATAAGCATCACAAAGAACCATTTCACTCTTGCAGTTAAAACATACCTGCACAAGGATGCGAGGCCTCTGAGAGGAAGGGAAGGGAACTTTGTGCATGAAGTGGGAGATGTGCCTGGAATGAAGAAAAATGAGTGGAACATAAGGCCAAATATGCCAGCAGTAGGCAGCAGAATAATCCATCTGTTCAACCAGTAACGAGCAGGAGTGAAATACACAAAGCATGACTCTTCTGTTACACATTACCTTACCAGCAGAATTACAAGTATGCATCTGACCAAACACAATTTCTGTTCCCTTTTTTCTTCCTCCATGTGAGAAAAAAAAATTAATTTTCTCTTTTTCAACTCTAACATCAGGAAAAACAGGCCCAGGTTCAGACACAATTAAAACTAAACTAATGACATATCTCAGCGTGACACCATGTAGCAAACTGCCAAAGAAAAGAGTTATATTTCCACAACCCAATCATTGTAGTCGCTAGAACACTAAATAATAACATGTTCAGCAACCACAGCATACAATTTTTAAATGAAGAGAGAAAACACGAGTACCCACTTCTCAATGGGCAGGGCATGAGGGCCTGAGATGGAGTAGCGATAGAGGAATGTGAGGAACTTGCGGAAAGCGTCGAAGAAGGGCCAGTGAGAGAGCAGGCAGATACACTTGTTGGTGTAGACTGAACGCGGGCTGCCGTTTGCGGTGCTGCTGGTGCCAGCGGCCATACAGCTGGAGGGAGAGGGTTTGTGTGGGTCGGGGATTAGGAGACCCAGCTGGGAGAGCTGCTGATCGGTCAGGCACTCCTGTGGGTAGGGCTCATAGAACTGAATGGCAGCACCGTAAACCTGGTAGAGGAGAAATAAAAACACAGAAAACCAGAAACAGTCTAAATACTTATATACCTCTGTGATGTGATAATGCCACAGTCAGACATTTTTCTTGGTTTAGATTTGCTTTTGAAAAGGATGCAAAAAAAGATTTTTGTAAATAATAATTGATCTGCCAGTGTTTCTGTGACTGGTTAATAAACTAAAAGAAAAAAAAAATCATGCCATTTGCAATTTTACATTCCCAACTTCACATCTTAAAATTACTTGCTTTATCTATCCGACAGCCTAAACTCAAAGATTTCATTTACGCAATTCAGTCAGTGCTCATTGCAAATGTTGCAAATGAAAATCAACTAAAACGGCAGCCCGCGTTTAGGGGTGGCTGTAGCTCAGGAGGTAGAGCAGGTCACCTACTGATCGGAAGGTTGGAGGTTCGATCCCAGGCTCCTCCAGTCTGCATGCCAAGTATCCTTGGGCAAGATACTAACCCCAAGTTGCTCTCCGATGCGTCCATCGGAGTATGAATGTGTGTGAATGTAGTTAGAAAAAGCACTAAGTATAGATAAAGTGTTTGTGAGAATGGGTGTGACTGGGTGAATGTGGCATGTTGTATAGAGCGCTTTGAGTACTCCGGGAGAAGTAGAAAAGCGCTATATAAGAATCAGTCCATTTACCATCAACCTATCAAAATAGTTCCCAACCACTTTATGCTAATCAGCCAATTAGTTCTGATAAGCCAATCATTTTCTTTAGTATCTCCTTCTCTTTCACTCACACACGCAGACATACTGGCAAAACCTCAAAAAGTTGATTCTCAGCACACTGGCATACCAGCTTAGCATGTGAGATAGTGAAATTAAAATGTTCTTACATTAAAAATTTTCCTAACATAATAATAATAATAAAAAAAACCCCATTTGAACAGTAATGTCAACAGTTAAATTAGCCCACATCTTGTGCATCCTGTGAGTTGGCTGAGGCAACACCGCACAGGTCACTGATGAAACATACAGCATGGGAATTGAGTTAAGCAGCAGTAAAAACCTATTGCAGTGCTTTGCCTCGAGGTTTCTTAGCATAATGTAAACTGTAATGGATTTTCCGCAGTTTATTTCTTTTTAGGACATCCAGTACCAAAATGAATGAATGCTGGCTCCTGCCCACCAGATTCTACAGCCTTTTCAGGACGCAACGACAATCTAAAATGTCCTCGCTGTCCAGAAACTTTCCAACTCTCAGGGTCTAACATGGTTGTAACTGTGACAGAGGTAAAGCACACCACACACACACACCTGACCTGAACTAATAACATTAATAATACAAAAGAGTGGTCACTTCACTTTATTGTTATTGATATTTATATTTAAAAGTACAATACTGTAATTTTCTGCTGCTCATTCCTGTGCAATATCCCATCTGCCCTCCCGTCATATTTCTTTTCAAGATTTTCCCACTCAAACACTAGTGTACATATATTTATATTTATAGATACATATATATTTAGTCATCTTTTCTCTTTTACCATGTCTCTCTAATATTTTGCTCCTTACTATTTTTCTATTTTTTTATTATTTAATTTAATTTTATTATATTTTATTATATTTTCTCCTACTGTATCATGCTGCTGAGTGACTGCTGCTCGTCAAACACATTTCATTGCAATGTTGACCCTGTGCTAACTTGCATATGACAAATAAAACTGAAAACTGAAAACTGAGTGGACAGGTTCTGTAGGGTCCTCTGAAGCATCAGCAGGCACAGAAACAGTCTGTGTGTAGCTGTTTAACTTCTACTGATCATTGAAATGCCAACAGTGGTTCAAACAAACAGCAGTTAGCTGAGCTTTATAAATCTCCTCTGCTTCCTGGAAATATGAGACCTTCCCACTTCATACACAGATCAAAGCTAACGGGCTTATCTGCTGTGTTGCCTGTTTGGGTCCGTTTTTCACATTTTCCTCTGAAAGGAACTCAGGCCTTTGTTTGCCAATGAGTGGGTGTGTTTGCTTCTATGTATACACTGTGGTCAAAAATTAAGCCTTTTTATTAAAAAGCACTGTGTTTCCATTCTATGAATGAATTTCCTTCTTCCACCACAAAGTTTACGGTTTCATCCAGAAACAGGAAGCCAACTAGAAATAAAACTGGAGGTTTGACACCTTTTAACTGACGATAAAGTTACAAAAAAAGTAGCAGAGACTGTGGTTATGGCAATAAATATAGAATATTTAACTTAGGCGTGATTGCTCAGTTATCAATGGAGTCTGCAGGCTGCCAGAGTCCAGCTGGGTCTTCCTCTGACCTTGGCTAGTAAATGACAAGGCAGCAAACACACTGTCCTCACCAAATATCCCCCTTAGAGTCAACCTTCCAAACACACACACGCACACACACAGAAACTTGACTCAGCAGCAGCAGACCGAGAAGGGTTTGGCACTGCCAGCTGCTGCTGACCTCTAACTGACCTTGTTCAGCAGAGCAAACGATTAAACAGTGGAAGGCTTTGGATGTTATTTGTTTTCAATCGTGATTGTTTTACCACATAATTCACTAATATGTGTCAATATGACACTAACCACAACTGGACGCCATTCCAAACCCAGAGATCAGCACAGCAGGCCAAAGCTTGTGTTTAGATTTGGAAACCAAGGATGTGCCTGTTTGAAACTGGAATTGTGCTCCTCTGCTGATGTGTCAGTGAACCTCTGCCGGGTTTGTTTGCATAAATTTACCCTTTCTTCTTTAATAAAGAATTCAAGACAGAAAAAAGCAAAGTTGGGCAACCATAAAAAGATGGGTTGTTGAGAAAAATGAGTTTCCTTTGGACTCCACAGTCCAAAAACATGCACGTTTTAGGATAACTGGTGACTGTAACTTGGCTGTCTGTCTCTATGTCTTAGCACCTGTAACCTCATCTATGGGGAATACTCTCCAATATAAGACTGCTGCAGCCCATTTTGAAATCTGAAAAGCCCCTCCAGTCAACCCAGGCCTTTAACTCTGATCATCACACAAGTCTATTGATTTCTTGATTACTAAGGTCTATCTTGGAAATTAAAACTGTCCCTCTTTTTGAAGTGTGCTAAGTATTTGGATATTTTACTAACTCCTCAACATATCAAACTGTACATATTGATGGATCAAAGTAAGTTTATATTACCCGCGTGAACAATGTTTACACCGCACAACACTATATTTTAGCCTTTATATAACTGGAATTGAAGGTAATAATGCCTCTGAAAGTGTGATATGATTTATGATGGGAAAATGCATGACTGGGATACTAAATATATCGGGTTACTGTTTTGATGTGCATATGTGTGAGAGAGCGACTCATTAAGAGAAACAGAGTCTGCATTGTTGTGCCCTGAGAAGCAAAAAAAAATAGCTCCATAAAAAGACTACAAAAGGAACAACCTTGCCCTTACAGTAGTGTTCAGGCATTTACTCTTCTAGTGAGCTGGTAGATTCTTTTTTTTTTTTTTTTTTTTTTTTGGGGGGGGGGGGCTGTTTTATTGTTGTGTTTTAATTCAAAGTTGCTGCCTTAAAATACAAAGCACATATGAGTTTATAAGGTTTTGGCAACATGCCTGACCTATTTTTACTTCTGGCATGCAGCACAATGTGGTTTTCTCGTGCCCTACTACAGTGTATGACTCTGCGGTCGTGTCAGCTGTACAGATGGCAGTTGAAGTCTGTTGATGAGGTCTAACAGTCAGTGGGATGCTCTCAGATCCAATGCTGTTGCCAGAGAAGCTTGTAAGTCATCTGGATGACTGAGAAATAAAGTAGTGTGGCCAAATATCCATTCATTCATCTCACCTTTTCTCCAGAGGCTCCGGTGAGCACAAAGGTGGAAAAAACAGGGAGGGAGTATTTGGTGTTAGCTGGCCAGCACTCAATTGTGGCCCCCATGGGAAGGCAGAAGAGAGGAACAGACTCTGGCAAAGGGAATGACTCATAGTCCTCCTCTGGATATCTGCTGAATAAACCTAACAGAAGGAAAAAAAGAAACAAAAAAAACCCCAAACAAACAACTGAGAACTCAATTTAGAGAGCAGCTGAGGGCAACAGCCCACTATGAATAACAATTACAAGCTAATGTGGATGCAAAATTGCCTTTCTAATAAGCTTAAAAGCAAACAAGTGCAATGTACTATAATCACAAAGATAATGTACAACTTTATCGAGGCAATGTGTCACTAGAAACGCCTGGCTTTGTAATAAGCAAACAGTCCTACACAATCGCGCATTCAGACAATTAGTTACTGTCAGTGGACACAAATGAAGAACAATGAAGTACTAATTTTACTTTGGCACTTACTTAACTCTGAGCTGCATCCAGCTTGATAAAGGATGATATGAACTAAGCGGTTACACAAAGAGCTTTACGATTTAAAGTTATGCCTTATTAACAAATAAAATATAGCCCTTTAGCTGTGGCTGATGAGAATGCTGAAATAAACAGCAAATGTGCCACAGGAGCCAAATAATTTCTTGAAAATGGTTAATAAGCTCGGTTACACTGTAAAGTTTCACTGAATTATACAGGCAATCATTTTTTCTGTTAGTCTAATATATATATTAGATTACAAAACTTTAACACTAAACGCACTAAAAGGAGGAGGGCCTTAGCAGTTCCCTGTGCTAAATACCCTACTACATTAGACACTCTGACTAATGTCCTGCTCCACAGCTATAAGTGCTCCTTCACATGACATTTCTACATGAAAACCAAACATCCACCGCAGAACAAACTTATCTTTGCTCACATATGGATTAAACCTGAAGCTTGTTGCTTGGTGGATTTCCTTCCTGGTTTGAAATGTTGAAAATAAGCATCATTTCTGTGAGCTGACTCATCCAAAACATTAGATAATATCGCTTCACAGTCTGCTGCATATTCACAACACAACAAAACGTCAGCAAGTCTGAGACTCAGCCAAACCCGGCGACTCTGAGCCAATAGTGTTATCAGAAAATCTTATGTCAGTGTTTTTGAAACGGGGAAGACACACAGTATTTAATGTGGCATAATCACCACCTTACATGTAAATATATGCTAACCATTAACTCCCTAGCAGGGAATAATGTTGGCATGCAGAGGCTTATCACTTCACTTCAATTCTGAGGCATCAACATGTTTAAACAAGCCGAATTGCAAGCATTACTGTAGCAGAGTGCCCTCCTGCAGCCAGTGCACTCTGCAGAATACGCTTGTCTCGACATCACTACAACAACACACAGTTACAGCAAATATAGAAACAACCGATATGCAATAAACAGTTAGGACATCGACAATTTGTTATTCATAAAAGAGTGGGTAACTTTCTAAATGCATTGCAATATCCACTCTGACTAGTCAAATTTTTTTCACCCACAATGCAAATAATTTGGCAGAAGAGAAAGTTACCTACAGACAACATACCATTTGATTTCTTAGAGGTTCACATCAGTATTTGGATCTGTGTGCACTGACAGTTATCAGATTAAAAAGGCTTACCTGCTTTGTACGCTATTGTGTTGGTTTTGGCCACAGACTTCTTGTAACACAGGTAGACTGAGGATCCCCACTGAAAACAAGAGCAGAAAACAGGTCATACTGTTATCCTCTGGGTCATCTTAGGCCCAATCAGGATCAAAACGCATCAAAATCTCATCTGGGCACTCATTCCACTTAATACTTTTCAGAACTGCAATTCTTTCAACTAACTAACAACAAGCCCTATTTAAGTGTTTTTATTGTGCAGCGCAGTATCAGCCTAGGATCTGTTCTCCGTAAGTGGATAGCCATAAAGTCAAACTTACTCCCATCATGTTTATTAAATGTAAACAAGATTAAATAATGGACCTAAACGGCAGAAGTGGCAGCCAACCGTGGCTGCAGCATTCCTGAGGGAGGACCCTGTTGTGAATAGTGCACTGATAATACTAAACATTTTCAGAGGAGACATACTGTATTGTCTCCACCAGCAATGTTTTGACCCTTTAGACTCTTTACGTTTAGAGAGTTACTGCTTTAGTCAGGAGAAGATAGAGCAGATACACTAAGTATTGAATATAACACCAATATTCAAAGTAAATATATTTCTAAAGGTGCTACTGACATGAATTTCTCACCAGATGTTGGTAACGACCCATTTAATCTACACATGCAAAAAATCATAGTCATAGATCTCCATATATTAAGTCACATGTAATAACTAAAGAAATCTTTAGATTTATTTGCATAGATTTCTATTTATTTCCTAAAACGAATGGTCTTACTTTCCTGAAACCTTCAAAACGACTTTTGCTTGCAACAGCTTTTGTCCAGATTAGAGGTGGGGAAGATAAAGCCGAAGCAAAATCTGAATAAAGAACATCATAAACTGTTGACCCTTACATTTAGGAGATCTGGGTGTTCTGTTACTCTGTGGGGGTCATTTCGTTTGTATGGTCTAGTTAATTTGTGTGCCTTTAATTTATGGGCTATAAACAGTGCTATCTGAACTCCAGGGGGGCACACCAATAAAACCACTGCACCTATAATGACCTATATAAGATAAGTTGCTATGCCTCGAAAGAACTAAGTGCAATTTCAGCACATCTATGTTCTTCCACTTCCACGCAGTCTACAAAGTTAGATAGTTAAAAATCTAACTTCAGTGTGGTATGGTAGGACATGGTTAATGTCTCTGAATCAATAGAGTCCACAATGGACACATCTCTGGCTTTGATTACATTAACAGCTTAGTAGGACACTAATGGCTTGCAACACAATACTTCCTGGTGCAAAAATAAAGCTAAAAGAAAATCCATTAGGCCCTCATTCTGTGCAATATTCAGACTCTCCAAAACCATCCAGGGGCTAGTTCTGTCCAGCAGGCTGGGTATTTCACACCTCTGCCTTAGAGGTTTGGAAATTAGTTCTGAGTGATCACATCACTGGTCTTTATCACAACACTTACGGGAGATTTTCCACTTGTGTGTCACTGTGTTAGATATTGTGCTCCATCACCATCATGAGAACACCAAAGACAGTAATATCTCACTCTGACTCGGTTTCCCAGACAAGTGTCATTTGGAACAATGTAGAACTGTGTGTAAAATAAGTGGTAGAGCAGGTCATCTACTGATTGGAAGGTTGGTGGTTCGATTCCTGGCTTCCCCTAGTCTGCATGTCAAATATCCTTGGGCAATATACTAACCCCAAATTGCTCTCCAATGCATCCATCGGAGTATGAGTGTGTGTGAATGTTAGTTAGAAAACACCTACAAAAATTTGCTGGTGTGAATGGGTGAATGCACAAGTTGTGTAAAGCGCTTTGAGTGCTCAGAAGAGTAGAAAAGCGCTATATAAGAACCAGTCCATTTACCATTTAATAGCAGCTGATAACATCTGCCTGCCGATAAATCCGTCATGCTCTACGTACTACGTACCATAAGTAAAGAATATCATCATTCATTGTTTTTCTTTAACTAAGGTCATTCTTGGGTAAATCCTAAAGGAATTAAATAAATAAAGTGCAATGCAAATTTTTTTGTACTTTTGGGCATTTTGTATCAGTTATACTCCAATTCATTTAAAAGATCAAATATATTACATTTCTATACTTTTTAAATAAATATAAATATAAAATAAATAAATGTGAATATATAAGTCAAGCCAGACTCTTGTGAAACCATTAGCATGTGAAGAGAGGCAATGATGCATCATATACACAAACATGAAAATTTGTCCCTGTGAGAAAAAGCTGGATTCTGACACATAGTAGACACATAACTTAAGTAGAAGTATAAACACTTGTGTTAAAATACTATGGTAAAAGAGTACTGATTTGAAATTCTAGTAAATAATGTAATGAAAGTACAGCTCTAGTACTCAAAGTATAAGAGTAAAAAGTAGCTCTTTGAACGACATTTCTGCCAACGATTTTTATGTAAAATGGACTGAACTTCATGTCATATTAAAATAATAATATTTAAAAAAATATTGGTAAATGTGAATGCAAACTGTATTTCCACTTAAATTCTAATTCTAATGAATGTGCTTAGCTTTAACATCTTTTATGCAGTACAAAAGCAGAGAAAATTGGAATTTAAAAAAAGCTCTGGGTGACTTTGCCTCCAGATCTAAACAGAATAAGGTGTACAGTGAGGGATGAGGGAAGCAGGTGGGGGAACCCTTAACCCTTAGTGGTGGAGTGTGTGGAAAAGAATCACTTAGAAGTAACTCACAATAATTTGAGCACAAGCAGATTTTATGTCCAGGTTGTGATCAGCTGCACTATGCTGCTAGTCTTTGTGGATTTATCCAACTGAGTTCAACAAAATATAAGCAGATGTTACATGAGTTCATGTCACCCACCCTACATGGATACCTGCTAATACTTGTTGAGCTTTTAGTTAAAATGCATTTGAAAGTATCTGCCACGCAAAAAAATGTTACTTCTTTTGTGCTCACTCCTGTAGCATTAGCTGGATGGTAAAGTACAGTGACTATGACTTGCGGACATCTACACCAAAAGTATGTTTCCAGATTTTTCCCTTCAACAAATGTTACATATAATAGTAACATATAGTATAGTACAACAAATGATGCATAAATTGGTTCATCTCTACCTGTGTGACAAGCACCATAATACACCAATAGGATTGTCTTCTAAGGTTTTTATTCCCTCCGTTTAGGCAAAAATTGGTTTGGTGATTAGTGATGGGAAATAATACCCACACACACAAAATGTCTTGAACCTAAGGTAGGAAGGCTTTTTGAAAACTAAGGAGTAGAAAGAAGAGATATTTGTGTTTAAAAGTGAGGGAGTATAAGTACAAACACTGTCAAAAAAAACCAAACGCTCAAGTAGATACAGATACCTAAAAATTCTATGTAAGAATCTTATTGTGGTGGAGGTGTGGTCCCTGGCTCGGCTGCAGGGGAGGAGTGGTGCAGTGAGCTCAACGGGGCGGTGCTGGGGAGGCAGGTGAGAACACAGCTGGTGGCGTTTGGTCTGATGACAGTTTCTTCCCCTTTTTAGTGAGACGGGAGAGGAGCGGAGGGGAGCTTTGGAACAGCTGAGGCCTGAGCGGACCAGACTGTGAACTGTCACAATAACCAAACCCATAAATAAACGTGACATCTCGCTATACCGATCTGTGTGTGTGTGAAGTGTATTTTACACTTATTAAGGTACAGCACCAAACTTTTTGTACTTTATTACTTCCTACCTCTGCTTCTGACAACTAAAACTAAGGATGCTTCCAAAGTTTAATAAAAATATTTAACAGAACATCACATTCTGCTTCAGGCACTAAAAGTCTATAGATTAATGAACTAGGAAATTTCAGGACACATGCAGCCACATACAGCACCTTGAAGGGGACTGCCTATTCTAAGAAATGCCAAATGTAGATCTCGCTGACACTGCAATAACTTTTACAGTAATTTAGTCTGTTTGTTTGTTTGTGTGTGTGTGTGTGTGTGTGTGTGTGTGTGTGTGTGTGTGTGTGTGTGGTTGCATTGGTGGGTGAGAGAGAGAAGCAGAACAACATAAAAAGAATATGACAGGAAAGTGAACAGAGCACAAATACTGGGTGTGGAGAAACTGAAATGCAGAAGCAGACAACATCTAGCTCAAGGGGCTTCACTATATGAAAAAAAATAAACTATATTAAGAAAACACACGCACACACAGCATTGAAAAAACCTTCATGAGGCATTTTATGATGGTTCTCCATAATTAGATGTACTAGCCAATTGGAGCACCTTACATGAAGGCAGAGAATTCTCTTCAAAATACTGAAATACACATTTAACTAGAAAAAAAACAATAAACAGATGAGATGGCTTTCACTCCACAACATGTGTCAGCACAATAAAAAGAAAAAACACAGAAGTTTGACTTGAACAGAATGACTTAAATTTTTTTATCACATGACAGTATGAGAAAAAAAAGCTCAGAACCATCTTGTATTGCTGACAAGTTTCACACCAAAGCTTTAAAATGAGACAGCAGAGTGAAGTTGAGGATTCAAGACTTATGACTAAATGTCTTAGCATTTCAGGTGACGGCCTGACAGCACGAGCAACCATCTGCTGAATTCAAAATGTCATAGAGTACCTTCAGAAAGGGAAAAAAAATCCACATTCAGTTGTTAAGAACTGTTTTTTTTTTTTATTACAAGTTATTCTGTTTTGAAGAATATGACATTATTGGGTTCACCCAGTTGCTCTCGACCTGCACCTATCATCTAATTTTCCTGTTTTTAAAAATCCAACAATACCATCAACATTTGCATTGGCATATTTAAACTAAAATGGCTCATTCCCATTCAAATATTTGGTTTATACTTTTAACTTGTGTTTGCTTCCAGTTTACACTTTCTGTATCTTACCCTCTTTATGCTGATGTCATTCGTTCTGTTAGGTCTTTAAAACTAATCTTCCTCCTCAATAGCTGAGGTCTGTTGTTCTGAGTGTGTGTTGCTATTTTTATTTGTGTGCAACTTGTACATAAAATTCAAAATGTTTGTTACACTTTAGTATTTGTGTCTTTAGCACAAAAATGAAATACGCTACACCTCAAGAAGATTTCCTTCATATATAAATAAATGGCCTGTAATGAGTGCGCTGGATAAACCTGTTGCTTTAACCAACTGGCTTCTTTACTCTAAAGAACTAAAGAAATCAGTGATGTTAGGGCTGGGCGATATGGCCTAAAATTCATATCGCGATATAATTTGAAGCACGTGCAGTAACGATATATATC